ATTGAACCGAATTTTCTTCGGGTTAATAAAAGAGATAGTACATAACAAAAGTACATATTTCTCTGTATGCGAAGTCGTTTGATGAGAAAAATAGACGACATGACGGGATGATGATGTTCGCAGAAAACAAAACACGTTATATAGCCTCACACACGTTAAAACACGTTAAATAGATAATAGCCTCGCTATATACTCAAAAGACATAACAAACAATATAAAATCGTTTCTTAACCGATTTAACTTCGAAAAGTAAAGGTTTTTTTAAGTAAACGACATGTCGCCATCTTTTTCATTAATCTATAGGTTGATTCATTCAAAGCCGAAGGCATTTTCTTGTTTGTCTTTCGCAGCTTTTGAATGCTGGCAAAAAAATGTGGTTGGAGAACTTAATATGCCCACAATCCTGGAATGACAGGCGTTTAGATTAGAATCTATGCATCGCATCACAATATTTATGGTTACCTTAGCGTCTATTATGCGCAATATTTGTCTTAAATTTAGGTCGCAAAGTCAATATTTGGCTTAACTAAATTTGGAAAGCTTAATTTGTAATTAAATACGCGCGTGCCGACATCAAAGTTGAAAAGGAGTCGTGAGGGGGAGTTTGAATGTCTTTTAAACAATTAACACATTCACAGTATCCAAATGAAACGCACGAGCGATTTGAGACAGAAACGAAAGGGCTTAGCATCTTATCAGTAATGCAAATAATTGTCATTTTGCAATTAATATTACCGAGACAGGTCAGACAATGAAATAGGGACTTGAATGGCGCCTGGCTTCCTTGCGTGTTTGTTAATCGAAATAGGACGAAAAAGTTGAGATATTCTGTCATTCGTGTCGTAAAATGAATGCCAAAATATCTCAATTTCGTCCCCGCAGACTAGGAGTATGTGCAGGTAATAGTTGTCACGGGGGACATACGTGCGTGCATGCATGCTACGTTAACCAGTGTGTGTCCAGCTTCAAGAACTTGAACTTTGTAAAGTGATCCGTGGCATTTTGTTATTTTACTCCAAAAGCAAAGATTTTGGTCGGGATTAGGGAAATTGTTTGAGCGTGCATGGAAGACAAGGGTAATAGCAATGACATGCATTGTAGGAAGAACATTGTACTGCACACAGAGGGGAACATTGTACTGGATCACAGAGGGAGGAGGGGGTTTGGGGGAACGATCGAGCACTATTCCACAGTATACAGAATGATTTCAGAGTCCGCCGGAAGACTTGTATTGTATTGCTAGCACCCATTGGAGCAAAAAAATGTTTGTTTTCAGGATAAATTTTACATATAAATTCTACAAATTCGCAGAAAATGTAACGTCGTAATATTTTTGTAAAAGACTCAAGCCAACCCCATCCCTACTCAGCGGCTCGTAAATATTTTTGAGTAGCCGAAACCAATTCAAAAGCATAAACTGCAAAAGTTGTCTTCAGAATTATGTCTTCAGAACAAACTTGACACTTAATATATTACTTGCCAGAATGTATTAAGCATCATTTGTTAGATTATGTGTAATTTCAATCGCCAGAAAGATAAATATTTGCAAGCTAGTGTAAAGATGGGGTGATTAATATTCTTGCGTTGTTTCATATTTACCCATTCATTTCTTAAGTTAAACAAATATATTTATTTTGCCGTAAATTGAGCATTATAGCTTTTTCCGGAAGACGAAGTATGTTTTGGCAAACATTCGTTACTAAGGTATTTTCGGTTAATTCATTTGCATGCATTAGGAGTTGTATACCATTTAACATGTCTAGCCTATATATTTCGTGAAATATATCTTGATTGTATGAATGAATACTATTAGTATTTTTGCACATGCAAGTGAATATGTATAACAAATCCTACATTCTAATTGGTCAAATTCGACGTATTATGCTGCTATATTCAGTTTATGTTATATTATAATTATTCAGACCTTGAATATAACAAAGCCGAAATTGCAAAATGGCGGCTAGCCGTTTTGCATGTGGACGTTTCTTACAAAGAGAAAGAAATTCCCGATAATTGTTAAAATTGAATAATTGTTAAATACTAATTTATGGAGGCAAGTTTTATAAACTAGTATCAAGAGACCAGACCTCGTATGACATTAATTATATTCGCTTGGTTTAAAGGTTGCGTGCGATATAGGTAATTATTGTCAATGGATGGTACTTACTTCACTTGATGTCCTAATATACAAAGGAAGGTTTTAAATCTATATTTGCATTTCGACCTCGTATGACATTCATTTGATTCGTCTGGTTGAGTGCTTGCGTGCAATATTTTGGTGTTCTGTTTGGAAATAAATTGAACAGATTTTACTTACTTTAGGATACACTATACTGGGATAAAGATTTTTTCTAACTTGCAACAGGACTCGTATATATGACATCCATTTAAATCGTCTGACTGGCAGAGTGTTTGCGTGCAATATTTAGGTGTTCTGTTTGGAAATAAATTGAACACTCAGATTTTACTTACTTTAGGATACACTATACTGCGATAAAGCTTTTTTCTAACTTGCAACAGGACTCGTATATATATGACTTCCATTTAAATCGTCTGACTGGCTGAGTGTTTGCGTGCATTATTTAAGTATCCTGTTTGGAAATAACACTTGTCCTATAATTTCATCATTTTCCTTGTCCTATATATAGGATGCTGAGGCGAATATTGTTTTATCTAATGTGTATATCAAAACATGACATTCATTTAATTTTCTTGCATGGTATATGTAGCATGTGCGTCCAAAATGTGTACGTATATCCTGCAAGTTTGGCGATGAAATGAACAAAGTTTTGTCGAATTTGCCAGTCAAGATCTCATGTGACATTAATTTAATTCGTCAACGACTGGTGTAGTGTTTGCATGCGTGCTGAATATACTTTAAAAAAAATACTACTGATTTCACTTGTTCCTAATTGTTTCCGCACTTTAACGCGCGTGCCATTTTAAGTGCGTGGTTTGGTCTAAGTATAGGTAATAACAACAGCGATGTCTTCCAACATCGTGTGTCTTCCAATATCGTGTGTTCAGGAAATTGTGATCATTAAAATTTATCCTTCAACATGCAGTTATCCTTGATATATCGTATTATATTTAGTTTATTATTTATGTTAAATAATAAATAATAATAATTATACAACATCTGTCATACATAGTCTAAAATGAAGTAATAATTATACAACCCGCGTAGTTTAATTTTTGGCAAACTAAACAAAACAATAAATTGGCAAACATCTACAGTCTTTACAACATATAGTTAGTACGTCTTATTGCTTCTATATTATGAAAGATGAGAACACAGGCAAACAGACAAAAGTTGCGTGCAATACTATCAAAAGCGTGCAGGTTAAATTGTCTAATTGTGATGTTATTTGTTTCTTTACACGTAAATCTTTACATGTGTCAGCACCATTGTTATACGTGCTTTCATAAGATATTTTTGATAGCTTCTTCCGGAGTAAACTGTTATGTTTTTTCAAATTGCAAAGAAATTCTTTCAATTACTCTGGGTTTTTTTTACTTCACACAATTTCCATACAACACACGATTCTGATTGGTCAATTCACTAACTATAGGTAAAATTTATATAACTATCCCTTTTTTAAATCCGGTCACAGAATATTTTTCAATTCAGTTTGAGTTGTCAAATTTTGAACTACGCTAAATCGCTTGAGTTTAAAATTCGATTGCCCACTAAAGAAAAGAATATTTTTTTCTGCCTCGTACAATGCGCTTTTTTCTTTTTTGCGTGGTTGCTCGCGTGGTAACTCGCGTGTAAGAAAAACGAAGAGCAAAAATGCATTGCTTCTGGGTAGGAGGCAGATTTTTCCCCGATTGGCTTGCGAACTGATGCATGCAGTCTACAATATTTCGTGATATTGCTTTGCAAAAAGTTCAAGCAAATCATATTGGGGCTTATGGTGGCCATGTTGAACTCCAAATTAGACTTTGAATTTTTTACCATGCATACCAGATGCAGATAACTTGGTTATGTAAGGACATGTAACAAAGTAGAGCAATTTTCAACCATGTCCATGATAAGCACAAAACATTGAAACCATGGAGAACGCGCGCGGTGTCCGGTAAAATGTAACTTAAGTTATATCCACTCGCATACATATATTTCTTAGTTATATCCACTCGCAAGTTTAGGTAGAACTGATAGTGTTCTAGTAGAACACTATACGTAACGTAAGTAACGTACGTAACTTAGACGTTATTGGGCTTCCCTCGCTAACTATATATGTAATGTCGTTATCAGTTTCAGTGTTTTACCTGAAAATATTTCTTCCGTTCCCTGTTTTTTTTTTAAATTTACCGAGAATAGATACACACAGCGTCTGCTGAACCCGGGCAACCATTGGGCAAAATCTTGACGACAGACATTCAACCAGGATCTCCAAAACTTCATGGGCACTATTTTTCCATAAACGTCTGACCGAAATTTTAACGTAGTTGGAGAGTGGATATCAGGTCATATACGACGAGTAATAAAAACAAAATGGCCGCCAGTTTTGCTTCGTTCTAATCACCTCGTAAGCTCATATACGACTAGAGCTCGACAGACGTGGTATAATTGATGAAAATGATGGGAATATCTCGTAATTAAATTATTTTATCTTTGCTTTCTGGTTGAAGGTTTCGCCTTCGCACAGTATGTGTGGAGACACAAGCTGAAAAAGTTCTGATTTAGGTGCATGCGTCCTTTACGTTCACTGATCCAGGATCATTTATATTATAAGGCAAAAAATTGACGTCAATTGTATCAATTTGAAAGTCGCAAGGAAAAAATCGATTCTCCATCCTCAGAATGATCACTCGCGATGATATAGAAAATCAGCTATAGGTTTTCATTTGCATATGCATGAAATAAACCCTATGGATGCAGTGCGATTCAGGTTATGGAAGTTTTTTGCCGGCTAATAATATATGGCAGCATAATTTTATTATGGCTCCGGGGTTCCTTAATTCAAGAATTTGAGCACATTTACGACAAGTATTTATATGGAAATTTATTGACGTGCACGTTATACAATTACTATATAATTATATATAATTCGTTACATATTATTGTGCATTACATTATTATGTGCATTAAAAATTGATTCATATGCTATTCGACTAAAAACTATACATGCTCGCCTTCTAAAAGCGAATTTATTTGTTCTAAATGATTATTATAAAATCAGCGCATTCATTCACTTCTTAAACAGTGTGTATATATAATTACATACAATTAAGAAAGTTAAATCAGTATGGGGGCTTTCCGCGTTTCGAAATAATAGCACAAAGCAGAAAATGGCGGGAAATTCGCCGTATGTGGGCAGTTAATTTTTGCTTGCATGCATGGCTGCCAGAAAAACATGCAGTAATTATGTCGATAATAGTATCGCTTACTTTGTTTAACTTTAAGATTGTTTCAGCTCTATGGGTAGGAGATCGATTTCATTATATTGTGCATTGTTTGCACTAACGCTACCATGCAAAAGTCGTTGTCTCAGACTTTCAAAATAGATTTTTGATGCTATTCCCGACGACCTCAACTTCGAGGCGAGAAAGCAAACAATTCTTATAGCTCACGGATGACCCGCATTCGTACTCTCAGTTACTCCCGAATGAGTTGATACAATTTCAAAGTGGATTTTGAGTATTTGTACAGGACTGTATTTTCATGAATCTTTTCAAGTCGGAAATTGAAAACTAAATTTCATAACTACAAGTTGAACAACCAAAAGTCGCCTTCCTCTTTTCAGGTTTTACAAGAATTGGTGAATTTTCAAAACCTTGGTTTAACTTTCATTGAAATTCATCTTCATTCAATCAGAAATTGCCATTTCGTAATGCATTAAAACTTGCATGTAGTGCTCATTAATTTGATTGGGTACATCAAAGTGCAATTGGTATATATATATATATATGTGCTATATATGTCTTGATACAGTGTGTGCAATGATTATGACTGTGCAATTTGTATAATATGTACTATTTTTGATAAAATATAAATATGAACAATGTCGCATTCAATGAGATGTCATTGCTAGGGAGTTCTCTATGCCACCAATATTGGTTCCTTCATTCTGAAGTTTAATCTAGTCAAGATTGAAAGCAGTTCTTTGGACTATTTTTTTCCTATAGGTCTAGTGGAAAAAAGACTATTGTACACATGCACACAAGCTGACCACACGAAATGCTTATTTTGCATAAAGGCGGTCGAGAAACATCGTATCAGCTTATCTCAAGCTATTAGAGTTATCGCAAACAGTGCATAATTATAATGATTATAGTTGACGAACATGAGAAAAATGAAAACATAAAGATCAAGCAATGATAAACAGTGTCATTTTGATCCCAATACTGGCGACATAGAGAAACAACATCCTATATACGCATGTTTATAGATAATGCAACATTTTGCCTTTCGCAACATGATTATGTACATAATTATACAGTTTATGTCATTTGTTGTCCATAAAAAATTGTTCCTATTCACTATTTTTTTGTGTTATGCGCTTTGCATATACATATAGGAATAATACGTTGAAATTATAGCTATACTAAACAGCTATAAAGAATATAGTGGTTTTCTTATTTTTTTGGATTTGAAAATGATATTTTCGCATAATTCATGCTCCATTTTCGCATATAATAGGCTACAACTATCTAACTAAGTTTATACTTACATGCAGTATTCAGCAGTTTCAATTGCGTGATTAGCTTTGTATTAAACCACGACAAATCAACAAGTTGAATAATCGTCCTCTTTGTTCAGAGAATTCTCCTTGAGCATTTCAAGCTTATCTTATAATCAATGAATGGAACGCGAAAACCACTCAAAGATACAGCTGATCGATCTGTCATTCATTTGTCCTAAAAAGACAAATTACGGTTTTGCATTTCTAAGACTTTCCTAAGGAGCTGATCTTTGCGGTTCTTTTGTGTCTTAATCTGTTGTACAAGAGATCTTTCCTCAGCTTGCAGCTGTAAAATGTAGCTGTACGCTTTCTGTAGAATTGAAACTTTCGGAGCACGATCGTTGCCACATATATCAGGAATTGAGTCCCGCAGGTATTGAAAACGTAGCTTTAGTTCGTTTCTTCTTTTCCGTTCTAAAACATTGTGTGTAGCGCGACCAAGTATCTCGCACTCGGGATCAGATTCATCTCCTGATAATACTCTTGTTTTTTGTTCAGAACAGTTTTCTTTATCAGACTCGCTACAACTCGATCTTCTCCTTTTTACTCCAGACCGAAGTTTAAATGAATAATCATGATCAGTGTTCTCGCATTGTGGAGTGCTTTCCGCTTCTTCCACGATCCTCGACTCCGCTCTGTCGCATTCCTCGCTTTTTTCCGATTTTATTTCTTTTCCTTCCTTTTTTACGGCGTCCATTTTTGGATTTCCTTCGAGTCCAACAACATCAACTTCTACTTCTTCGTCTATATTGAAAAGGTCACGATAGAACATCAACAAAATGCACACAATTACAATGAGCAAGGGTTTCATAGGAAATTATCAAATATTTAGATCTTTATTATTTTCAATTCAGATATTTTGCAAAACATTGAAAAATGCAACATCGTTCGCTAAAAGGATAGTGATTTTGAAATAACCAAATTTACTTCGTTTCAAAAAATGTATATAGTTACTTTCAAAGCATTTTGCTTGCAAGAACATGCACCTTGTGTCAAGAATACCTTGTGTTGATATTCAGCACTGACTATATTAATCTATTTTCAACGGGGAATCGATCGCGTTTCAAGCACCTTTATAACTCCAAATTGTTGACCGTTGAATTTAGACAATTTACCAATAACTCTTTTTATTTAGTTTAATTCACGTATATTGTTAAAACCTGTTAAGTATAAAGGATATTATATGTGTGCCGCTTTAAACGAAGCACAAATTCCTTCCAATGAATCTATTCTGTAGACAGAAATACTTCTTTAGCTATGAGCTGGATGACCCGGCAGCTGTTAATCGGGTGAATCACCTCATGACGAGGCTCGCCTTTTATGATGAGAGAAATAATTAAGTCTGAAATCACTAGATAACATTTGAAAAATTAATACATGTGCATTAATCAGTTCCATGCAGACGAAAAAATCTGGAAAACTTAATATTCATTCACTAACTGAACTTCGAGGAATCAATACAACTGAAAATTAGAGTATAGTGTATAGTGCATGTATAGCATCTATAAATATTGTATTTATAAAGCATTAACTATTGTATATTGTTACTAATATGTTTAATTAAAATTGTTTACTCTTTCAGCGAGACATAGGGGCGTCAAATCTGTTTTTTGGCAACTCCCATTTTAGTAATTTTCAGTGTAAATTAATGTTTAGTTGGTTTTCTGTATAGCACTTTTTGGCAAGTTGTCTTCTTAACTAAGAATACAAGTGCGTAAAATATCGTGAGGCGTGTACGAGACTCAAAAACGCATGCATGTGCGAAGATTGCTTGCCGGAATTATGCAAGAATCTTCCAGTAGCTGCGTTAACTTGGCAGAAGAACAAAATCTTGCTCACCATTAATGCATGTTACAAATGCAATTTCAGGTTACTTATGTGAAATTCTCTGTTTGACCAATAAAGTTCTATATAAACCTTATGAAAAGCCGCTTATATAATACACATTTGATTTATGAATTTCAAGTAGCTTTCGAGTACAAAGCAACTGGTCTGATTTATTAGGAAAAAAACTTGGTCACGGCAATGCGTTGGAGTAGTGTGTCCGCATAGCCACACTTCATCTTTACTCTCATGTCTATAGTGCATAACTATTCATTATTAACTATCTATGTTAAAGAGTTTTATACAACCGGCCCCTGATTTCAATATTGTGCTATATAACTATCGTGAACAAGTAATTTTCCTCGATGAGAACTGAATAGTCCGGATGTCAAATTGTAAATTTTCCCCCTTCAGATATTGGTTATTGTTGACTGCACACAAATAGAAATATTCCATCACATCATTCACCTTGACATATTCACGATTATTACGACCGAAATAATGGATGGATAACGTTGCACGCGGATTGATGTGTAGAATTTCGTGTCGGAATGATTTATGATCGACATGCTTATAATGTATATAAATTATATCAAGTTTTTGTTTTCAAGAATATAAGCCATATGAAATATATTTAATGATGTTGATTGTTAAAATTCTGTTAGAGTGATAGTGTGATATTGTTCACATGTTGTGATAATTGGAAAGTTGTGAAATCTTTGCGTGGGAATTTAGCGAAAGTTTTCCAATACAATATTGATTGTGTCGAATCGTCAAACATCATACGAGGAATGATACGCAAAACGAGAAACTATTGGCATCTAATCGGGTCAAGCAGGAACAAAGCAATTTACTTTGCTTTATATAATTCTAAACTAACGTTTGAAAACGAGATAATTGTAAGGTTTATGACTGTTCATGCTTTTATTACTATTATCAAAAACTGGATTATTTATCTATAATTATTGCTGCTTGTACGTTTATAACTGTTTATCACCTCGTTCTCGCCTATTTGCTGCCGTTTCAACGATTCGGTCCTTGTAATATACTTTAGCTCTTGATATAGGAAACGCATTATATGCATACATGACTATTGCATATTGATACAAGGGATAACAACATAATTATCACATTATACCTCCAGGTGACTATATAACATGCAAGTAACCATAACGGAAAGCTCACGTTTTGCAGTTCGCCACAAGATATATTTCTTTTCGTGTTTAGGAGGATGTAGGAGATATTTGTTTATGCTGAACTAATACATTAGACACGTAGAAAAAAGCATTTTCGAGCTTGAAAGAGAGGCTTTATTAGAAAGTATTCATCTTTTCCTGAAATATGGATATATGGCCTCGCGTGCGTTTCAAAATGTTGACAAAAATGAACTTTTTTAGTTTCAACTGTTATTTTCTCATCTAAGCGAAGAAATAGGATCTATTTTGCAAATTTTTTCAACCGTAGCGTATTAAGTTGCTTGGTTTGAAACCAGACAGTCTTTTAAACAGTTTTCAATTCTCAAAGACTTGTGATATTGGTTGAGTCTGCAATATGGCGATAATCATGAGCGGGAAATCGATCTTTACACACTGTTATTCAAATGAAGTTCCGTTTTAAATGAGTTTTGATGTATTTGCCGATGCATGTTTTAAAAACTTTCAAATCTATTCAGTGAATACTTGCCAACGCACATCTGTGTTTGTTTAGTACACATCTCGTCATTAACAAGAAATTAACATGACAAAAATAAGAGAAAGATATTCGTGCAAACTCCATGCATAATATATTGATAGCCAGAAAGCGTTATAAAAAATAAACAAAACAAAGCAATTATGGCGAAGGGTAAAATAAAAGACGAAATCTTTATTATATATAACACGTGAAGTATTTACTTTTAGGAAGTATAAGCGATAAGTATGCCCTACTACGCAGTATAAATTATATATTATTCAAGCGATCTCAACATAATTACAGGAATCCTTAGACCTGCATGTAAGTTAGTTTCCAAACGGTTAAATATTACCTGTTGTCGCACGTTGGCAAGACACGCATAAAAAACATGAAAGAACTTTTCAACGATTTGTTGAAAAGTCATTAAGAACATGTTATCGGTGACGCTATAATTATGCGTGTACTTGCATGTACTATATATACAGTTCCAAGCTATAGGACTGTTTATTGATCCGTTTCGTTTTGTACTTTAGGACAAAAGTAACAATTACTCAGTCGTCCATGCAGGCAGTGCTGGCAAAATACCAGCTAACCAACTAATATTAAGACAGAAATATTACATACGCCACGGTACAGCTATGCAACCGTTAGTTCATTGTGTGACTATATTCAACGCCAGAAGGCAAAATGCAAATTATACTGACACAGCACTGACAGTTACAATTTAACGCACATTTCTACTCTTCGATTCCGTTCCGCAATTGTCAATAACAATATCAAATCAAGACAAATCGAAAATCTGATTTCACATGGTTATAGTCGATTTATAAAATATTCATTTTACCGCCATTTTCTGTTGTTTACTATACATTCAACAGGTCCAGACATTTTTACGATTACAAATTTTAAGTTCTACAACAATTTTTTTAGCAAGAAATAATCTTCCGGTTAGCTTTCAGAGCTTAGTTACTGAGTAAAGAACACTCTTTCTACTTTATATATTGAAGAAACGGTCATGACAGCTTGAAATATAAAGAGCTTGATCTTACTAACCTGTGTTATCATTGTTATTGTCTAGAGTAGCTGTTTTTCCCGCCTTTAGTTGATCGTTAAAATAGAAAGGCCAGATCTCGCTTGGATCCACATACATTCGTAGATTACAGTCAATCAGTGGCGGTGTTTTCGTGAGCGGTCGTAATTTTTCAAAGATTCGTCCTTTCTTAGGCGATTCGCCATTCCACATACAATCTCTAATTAGCATACATTTCAAATCCTTTGTGCGCGACGCTCCTGATAAAATCTCGTCATTTTCGTTAGGTTTCTCGTTTAGGATGGATTCGTATGTCGGACTACTGTCTGGCGACGACGGCGGGGTCAGAAAGATCGTCAACGGCCATACTTCGTCACTAATGTCCTCTTCTTCAACATCATAATGCTTTTTCGCCAGTGGAGAATAGTCGTAATACTTGAAGTTTTTTTCCAGCGACACTACACCAAATATATCATCCACTTCGCTCTCCAGATGATCCATCTCTTTCGATGAAAACATCCCTAATTTTTTTCAAATATATAATTTGAATATACTTAGTTGTACGTACAATATACTTGAAGTAAGACACTTTACTCCTTACTGGAGCGGGAAAATTGTCCAGTACCTTGTTATTTCGCACGTTGTCAATCCTCGAGTTATATGATCCAATAATGTACGAGTATTCTGTACACACTGCCTCGCGGCGTCCTATAGCACTCTTTGTGAGTTCTTACATAAAACGCTAGTTAGCTCTGACTGCTGGCCGATGAAGCACTTCAACAGTTTATATACATCGTTCATTCAGCGCCCTATTCAAAAGCGCGTAAACAAAAAAAGGCTGAGCCCGCCTACTACATACAGGAATATAAAGTTGCTTTCCTTTAGGCGAGACCCTCAAAGTCACTCTCATCTGATAAACACAATCCTATTCACCTTGCTGCTGTACGTAAATGGAAAGAGCTATTTGGTTATCAAAAACACGGATGAAAACTACTCCAAATATTAATTTAGCTGCTTATTGTATTGGTTCTATAGCACAATAACACAAAAGAAGTCGAAAGTTTCGCAATAGTTCGCACGAAACTTCAGCAAGGTGAACGGGATAGGGAGCATGGAGTATGTTAGGCTTTTCCTTCGGGGAGAGAAATTTTGGGGAAATTATATATATTTTTCGTTAGTCTTTCCACCACCTGTTGCTTGGAACATCTGGCGCTGAGGGTTAGAAATGCTAATTACTCTAATATCTCTTTGTTCGCAATGTGTTTGGCCGCGTGGCGGTAACAACATACCAACCAACCGTAACAAATTGACAATATCATAATGAGATTTATCTCCGCGTTAAGCTCCCTCTTACAAAATGCAAACAGTGAGTCTCGAACATGAAATCTATCGTGTAGAATCATTTGGTCACCGAATATTGCTTTCATTACGATGGGATATCGTGCTAGTAAACTTAGCGTATAGGTCATGGCGTGCGACCGGAAATATGGCTGCGTATCAAAAAGACTGCGCTCGAGTCTTATCGCTGTCGTCATCTATATATAAATTAAATTGCTTCCACGAGACAACACGTGCCTGATGTCAATAATACAGTGGATGACACAGCCGCACACTTATTGAGTCGTATCATAATGGCTTACCGTCGAGCTGCGCAGTTGGGTTATCGGAACGAAGTATAAATGAATCAGCAAGCAGTCTCTTTAATCTTTACAAATGAGTCAACTTGATGTTAAAGTTCAATAGTTGCGAACAGTCGAGTTTATCTGTAGCCAGGGTGTAGGTTTATGCATTCTGTAATTGTAGCATTACGATGGCCTCCTACACACCACAGGCATCCCTTGTGTAACCAGAGATGTCAAGTGAGAGACATCGCGTTAAAAATTCAGTTTTAACAGGAACTACGAGTATAACTTTGCGAGATTCGTCAGGTTCACGTTTGGCTACGCGGGTTTTTCCGCTTTCAACCGCGTGTTTTTTGTACATACGCTCGTATACGCACGTAAAAGCTTAAGCCTTCTAAGTTGTTGTATGGTTAATTTTATGCCCGAAAAACCACACGAAATCATTAACGGAATCCAAACTTCCAAGCGTCTATTCAATTGCTGATTTTATAAGTGTCATTTGATTTTAAATCATTTTAAACTTTTACGCGCGCGTACATACAAAAAACGCGACAGTGGAATGCAGCCCTTAGCCTATATCTCGCGAAAGTAAGCAGTGAGGACGGCAATTTTAGTCTACAATTCACTATCAAAATCCCGTCGACTGCTATAGATTTCCCAAATAAATATTGCGAACAATTTTAGTAAAAAAGTGGAAAATTTCCAGCATATTTCATGAATGAACTATCAGTACAGTTACTGTTGTATTATAACTAAGCTTTGGGGAAAGTATATCTTAGACTCTAATGTTAGACATGCACGCAAAGAAAGAGCACTACTTTTTTTCCACGCACGCATATTCAAACCAGAGCAGTAAACCAGTATGTAAACACAAACTTTATTCAGAACCTGGCATGAAATGTGGTATAACAACTGCCTACATATAGACGAAAATCGTCTTCACGTTTCGGCCAGAGAGGCTATATTTGTGAGGAGAAATAGTAAGATAATATCATTGCTGTTATACTAACTCTCGTGACGAAGGCCCTTCTTACGTAGAAACGTGGATAATTTTTTTCTATTTTAGGCAGTTTTTATACCACATAACCGCATTTGTTGCAGCGAAGTTGTTTGAAGTCGCTGCCACGCTGGCTGCTCCCTGGTTATATTTACTCAGAACGTAAAGAAGTTGTCGCAAAAACTTTTAGGAACTTTCAAATTACTTGTTGAGAGCTCTGAAATACATTAATTTTTATTTTTCTTTCCTACTCGGTGCTGTGTATATTGCGCATGCCTTCACATACGTCCGAGTTCTGGCAAATAAACCCTGCAAAAAATCTAACTTTGATAATGAGGAGGAAGGAATGCATGGGTAAGACGCAATGATTCTTCGAAATAACCTCAAATAAATCAACTATCGATGTCTATTTAATTTAAACATCCCATCCCATTCCATTCCGGTGTTACGTCACAATAATTCAGGTTAGTTTTTCCGTGGCGGCCTAATTCAGGGCTGGGAATATCAATATTATAAGATGGGAATATAGGAATGCGGCCTGGGCTAAAATGTTAGGAAGGATCACAATTGACTTTCATTTATGGATCGAGTGTTTCGCGTATACAAAATAGCCCTCAATCGGAACACGCTGACAGTTCCTTGACCATTTATACGCCTAGCTTTGCAGTGCAAGAATTTCTTGACGGTAAAATTATGCTCACGAAAATTGGTAGTTTTGATCGAAAGATGTACTTTTGTACATAGCTTTTGAAGCGATTTTAATTGAATAATATCAACTGTTATTAAAAATCATTAGTCGCGATGCTCAAAAAGCCACGAAATTTCTTTGAGGTCATCAACAAGGCGCCCGTCGTTAAGTATTTTAATTACGCCAATAATGAGAGTTTTAATTTTGTCTGGAATAACGGCGGGTTTAAATGATAATTCAGCTAATGAGATTTATGCGGTACAAAGCAAAAACCTCAATGACTTTCATTTTGCTTCAGATCATCTGATTTTAATATTTCATTAAATACACGAAGTAAATATATATGCACGATATATATTTGCTCTTCTTGAAAAACATTTAAACTGTGGTCAAGAAAATGCGGTTAAAAATATTGATAATAGGGTAAGATAATAAGGTAATATAAGATTGCTTTTACCGATCATCAGTGTTATCAAATATACCCAGGTGATTTTCTGTAGTATCAGTAGCAATTTTCAACTTTTCAACATTTCAAAAGTGTCAACCGGGGTTTTTTATTTAACTAGTAGGTTTTTTCTACACTGCCTTATTACTATCATCACAGTCACTCACAGAAGCATAAAATCAAATTCTCATTCGCCTAGTTCATTACATGATAATCTGAGCATTAGGGCTTAAAATGCTACACTGTTTTGCGAGGCATAAACATATAATACTGTTTTGAGAGGCTGATACTGGAACCTCTCCATATATTCCATCTTTGTGTGGTGAGGAATACTTGCGTGCAGCGTCTGAATAACGAGCAGAAAACAACGGAAACAGAATAAATACCATTGTTTAGAGTCTCAAAAAAATTATAACATGAAAAATTTATGCCTGGGCGTGTGATGATAAATCCCTTAACAATAACATGTTATTAAAAAACCTACAAAATTGAATTCTCGACACAGACCGAACGCGACGCAAATTTTTAGTTTTTAGAAGCATGTATATATGATTAAATTTTGGAAGCATAAAAGTTTGGAATCTACGCCTATGGTCTATGGATGCCAGACCAGTAAAATGCATTATCGTTAAGTAATCTGCAAGAAACAGCATGCATGCATGATAGATTAAAATTTATTTTCTTTTGATAAGTAAAAAAAACTATAAAAAATCGCGTCGCGTTGCCAAACGCGTCCTGTCCGTGTGCGCCTTAATTTACACGGCATGATATTGAAAAACACTGGTAAATATAAATTCTTACATCCTATTAAATTTTGAATTTGTAATAGGAGCCGAGCTCGTGCATTTTCTTGCGAAATAAGACTAGATAATATTGATGCAAAGGAAATCATGACGCAAAACTAATCGTCCAATACAAACATGGAAATACAGCTAATACACGCTTGAAATATACACAACATCTTTATTGTTTTAGCTCTTAGACAGTAGTCGTTTGTGGGATAGCCTCGCACAGTTTAGTGACTCAGCAAAGAATCCAGTGTTAGTATTACGAAAATATGTACGATATCAAATAAAGTCAATTCAGGTGGGTAAACATGACAAGTTAGCCCAAGAGCAGGATTAATTTTGTGATTAAATCATCTTGACGTATTTTCCTAAGCTGTTTAATCCCTTTAATAAGCACACGTGTGCATCACAAATATTGACATTATATCTTGGCGATCGTACAGCATGTCTGATGACCCCTGGTCTATTTATATATATATACACAATATAACGTGCAAGCATTGCATGAAGTTTCTGAAACCATAGTATGGAAATTCCGATGCAAATTCCATTTCCAAACAGGTGAGGATAAATTCTTGCAATTGTTTCAACCTGTACGCTAAGCCCCCATAACTATGGACTAAGAAATCACATACAATCGCTCCCAAAAAACTTCAGGATAGTAACTTTAATTTATAGTGCGACACCTTGAATTCAAGTACTTTACCCTAAATAGTACTATCGATTTGTTGAGGGGATTTGAGTTGAGTAACACTAGGTTTTTGTTGGCCTTAAAGCTTCAATGTTGCAATACCACGGTGCAGTGAACCAAGACTAATTTGAATATAGTATATATGAAAGACAAAACATCCATACAATTATATAATATTAGGAGCTAATTCTGATAGGTGTAAATTACTTTCAACGAGGACTGTGGTGTGATGCAGGAAAGCTGAGGCTTACTCATGAGCTATCACAGTAAGATTGTGGATTGAATCAGCACGCAACAAAATGTTTTGAAGAAACAGTTTAACTTTTTGAATGATGGGTATTATTACTAGGGCATTGTATACGCTTTTAATTGAAAAAGAGCAAAGAAAGTGGATCTAAACACAGCTTAAAAACAGTCGATTCAATATGAAAAACATTAGGCTCACTTGATTTGTGCGTTGATTATTTTCTCAGTTCTCTTAATTAAAAGTGCAGAGCAATGCCCTAAAGACGAGAATTTTAAAAGTGTAACTAGATGTGGGCGTATCAAAACCTGCTAGTTCCCAGATAACAAGTATATAAAAAAAGAATTTAAACACGTG